CACACACCCTCCTTCCACCCCCACCCCACCCCCTCATTTTGTCCTCCTTTGGTTAATTCCGTCTTTCCGTTGCGCCTGTTATCGCCAGTGTCCTGTTTCTGTTTTCGGAAGCTCTAGGCCTACAGCTGACAGCGGATGTGGCAACTGACTATTAGATACACGATGCTCTGTATATTTATCTATCAAAAGTATCATATTACATCTTTCTATCTATATCCAAATACATAAAGGCAAGGACACACACACACACACACACACACACACACACACACACACACACACTCACACACATGAAAGTGCGCACGCACATAGCGGGCAAGGCGCAAGCTTTTTAGGGTCACCAGCAACGTTGAGCCGAAGCAGGCGAAGCAGCACAGCAAGGCAAGCACACACAGAGAGTCACACAAACAAACAAACAGTGCACGGTCGTGCACGTAGAAAGACACACAACATTTAAATCTGCAAACTCACTTAACCAGGTAAATTATATGATTTTTTAAAAAGTTAACAAATATCTCAGACACTAAAATTTTTCTCAAATATACACACATACATAAAAACCACAGGAAAAAAAATAACCACATTACTATCCAACGTGTGTGGTGGAGAAAAAAAACAAACAAACCAAACCAAACCCACTACCAGTTACTTAAACATGTCTCTAATTTAAACTTGCATATACTCAACAAAACTAAGTGAATACAAAAGGTTGAAAAATATCTCAGAGACCAAGACTGTATCAAACATACACAAAAATATATAAGGCAAAACAACCCCATAAACTACTCTACACATTATATGGTAAGGAAAACAAAAATAATCAAACTCCCAAAAAACCTATCACCTTTTCTCAAAGTCCAAATAATCAAGGAAGTGCCTTTATATATAATGTACTCGTGCCTCCCAAACCCTATAATCATGCAATCCCTGTCGTGTACAGATTTCAAAATACACCTCGAATCTGACACTAGATATAAAAAAAAAAAAAACAATAAATTCTTTTCTGGATTTCAAAATAAACCAAGAAAATACATTTCAAAACAAACTATAAATTCCTTTTAGGGTCTCAAAATATATCCCGAATTCAACCCTAGATTTCACAATAAACCAAAAATTTCTTTTTTGGGGATTTTAGAATAAACCAACTCAAGATTTCAAAATAAACTTAAAATTCCCCTTTGGATTTCAAAATAAACTTAAAATTCCCCTTTGGATTTCAAAATAAACCAAAAATTCCTTCTTGTTGGATTTCAAAGTAACCACGTACCCAAATCTAGATTTCAAAATAAACAACAAATTCCTTTTTGTGTAAAAAAAAAATATTTAAAAATCCCTCAACAAAAAAACAGATATCCCTATGAGGAATCCAAACACTACGGCTTCTCCTTCTTCGACTCCTCTCTGTCCGATGGGTAGGTAGGTTACTGACGAACGGCCCTTCAACTAAAATGAGCAAGTCTTGATCTTTTAAACGAAAGCGCTTTTTCTTTTTGGTTTACAATAACGTCGAGACCGTCGCCTTTCACTTTCACCAGCCTTATTATTATGCCATGTTAAGAGATTTTCGAGATGGGGGCATTCTGCGTAGAAGGAAAACGATTCTCGAGACACAATATGTGATCTGGAAAAACCAAAAAGGGTTACGGAGAGGGGGAAAAAAGGGGAGGGGGGGAGGGTGAAAATCTCGGTAACGTACTTCTATTTCAGGGAAATTGTCGCTCATATGACCTTATGCAGTTGCGCGAGCGCCGTAAAACCTCTACTAAAACCTCTACTAAAACGTTACCCCCCCCCCCCCCTTACAAATTTCAGGGAATGGGTAAGCAAGAATTGGGGGGCCAGAGAGAACCACACCAGAGACAGATAACTATGACCGCTGTCGTCTTTTACACCAAAAGCAAATCAAAGACGCAGGCAAAACTCAGAATCATCGACGTCTCTGCGTTATTTATTTATTCATTCATTTATTTATGATTCAGTTATTCATTTATTTATGTACGTGTGTATTTATTTACTTGTTCATTCACTCATTCATTAATTTATTTTTTCATTTATTCATTCGTGTATTTATTTATTTATTTATTTATTTTCATGTGTTTATGTATTCATGTATTCATTTATTCAAGTATTTATTTATCTATTCATGAATTCATTCATTTATTTATTTATTCAATTATTTATTTATTTAGTAGTGAGACAATCAAGGGGCAGGGGGGAGTTAGAAATGAGACAGCAGGTTGCCATGCCCTAGCTGGATCACTGTTCTATTCCTCGTAGCCAGTCTAGTAATCGCTTCAGCTTGCAATCTTCATTCAACTATGATAGACTACGTCAAATCTATACCGTTTCCTTCGAGTCGATGACCCCTAGCTCAGCCAGACATTACCCACTAACGAAACATGACTTTTACAGTGTACTGACAGAGTAGTTAAAACACACTATTTATTCTCTGGTGGTCTATTATAGTTTTTAACTAGTTACTTAACCCCTTCACTGCTGAGATGCGTCTGTGTACGATTACACAAGATAAACATATCTGTCCAAGACAGTTATAAACAAAGCCATAATATGTTTCGATTCAATTCAGAATAAGCAACTGCACAAAGTTTGTGTAATAGCTTAGTCTTAATTGAATGGAAAGATATATAATGTGGTTACATCTCCTAAACCTGCATCTTTTGGCCTGAAGAAGAAGCGAGTACTTAAGTCTACACAGCTAGCAGTGAGGAGACTAAAGAGTTCAAAATTCGTTGCAAACTAGCCAGTTAACTGTGAGTGTGTTATGATACACGTGACTCGAGTTGCAAATCGAACACAATCACTCCAGCTGAAAAGGCTCACGATGGCCAGATCGTCCTTACTGATGCTAAGCCAGATTCAGAACTGCCTAACATCTGACAATTTTTATCTCGTTAAATCACTTCTAAGAAAATTGCACGGTTCAAAAGAACGAATATTGTTTCTTATACATAATATAATACTGTGGTACATTTACATAGAGATACACACGAAATATGAACCTGAATAGTAAAAAATAATAATACTACATGTATATATTATTTATATCAAATTATAAGGAAAACGAACTAAAGGAAACAACTCAAGACAACGGCCGAGGAAACTAAAAGAAATTAAATAAAAAGACAAGAAGCCATCAATGATGCAAGTGGGTGAAGAGAAAAAAACAACCAAAACGAAATCCACAGAATTGGTGGGGGTGGAGGGGGGAGACGACCCGGGCTCTCTACACAAAACAAAACATACAAAAAAACCAAACAAACAAACAAAACCAAAACAGTCCGTATTTGCAACCAGCAGGCAGAACATTCAGCGCAAGTCAAAAAAAGAAAGAAAAAAAGAGAGAAAGAGAGAGCGGAATCTTGCCATTTGATTTGTTCTTCATCATCCAGTTGAGTCGACTGCGACGGGCCCAGGCGTATATCTGCTGCCTCTGACGCTCGGGGATTTTATGGTAAATACTCTTGTCAGAGTCGTCTGTTGGTGGTGACCATGGTAGTGTGGTAGGGGGAGTACAGGAGGGGAGGGAGGAGAATGGTCAGCCAACAATAAGACTACTATTTATTGTCACGTCACAGAGTGTGTGTGTGTGTATGGTCAGCCAGGAGGGGAGGTTGGAAGTGGAAGGGAGGCGCTAACACTTCCACGTCTATCAGCACCACAAACGCACATCCATGCTCATATGCATGTACGCACGTGCGCGTACATACACACATATGAACGCACGCGCGCGTACATACACACATATGAACGCACGCGCGCGTACATACAATACGAACGCACGCACACACGCAAGTTTTCTCTTTCTCTCTCTCTCTCTCTCTCTCTCTCTCTCT